GCCATCGGCGAGATGAAGAAACTCGAGGTGCTCGAGCTGTGGAACAACTCCTTGACGGGCACCCTCCCGGCGTCGCTCGGCCGGAGCTCGCCGCTGCAGTGGGTGGACGTCTCGTCGAACGCCTTGACCGGTGAGATACCCGCCGGGATCTGCGACGGCAAGGCGCTGGCCAAGCTGATCATGTTCAGCAACGGCTTCTCCGGCGAGATCCCCGCCGGCCTCGCGTCGTGTGCGTCACTGGTGCGCCTGCGCGCGCAGGGCAACCGTCTCAACGGCACGATTCCAGCCGGGTTCGGGAAGCTGCCGCTGCTTCAGCGGCTCGAGCTCGCGGGCAACGAGCTCTCCGGCGAGATCCCCGGCGCCCTGGCGTCCTCGGCGTCGCTGTCGTTCATCGACGTGTCGCGCAACCGCCTCCAGGGATCCCTTCCGTCGAGCCTCTTCGCCATCCCGGGCTTGCAGAGCTTCATGGCGGCGGGCAACATGATCTCCGGCGAGCTCCCCGACCAGTTCCAGGACTGCCTCGCGCTGGGCGCCCTGGACTTGTCGGGAAACCGGCTCCTCGGCAAGATCCCGTCGAGCCTCGCCTCGTGCGCAAGGCTGGTCAACCTGAACCTCCGGCACAACGGGCTCACCGGCGAGATACCGCCGGCGCTGGCGAAGATGCCGGCGCTCGCTATTCTTGATCTGTCGAGCAACTTCTTGACCGGCGGCATACCGGATAACTTCGGGGGCTCCCCGGCGCTCGAGACGCTCAACCTGGCGTACAACAACCTCACTGGTCCCGTGCCGGGGAACGGCGTCCTGCGCACGATCAACCCCGACGAGCTGGCCGGAAACGCCGGGCTGTGCGGTGGCGTGCTCCCGCCGTGCTCCGGGAGCCACGTCGCCGGTCTGTCCCGCGCGCGCGGGGGCAGCGGCGCGCGCCTCAAGCACGTCGCGGTGGGGTGGCTCGTGGGGATGGTCGTCGTGATCGCCGCGTTCACGGCCCTGTTCGGCGGCTGGCACGCCTACCGCCGGTGGTACGTCGTTGGCGGCGCCGGGGAGTACGAGTCCGGGGTGTGGCCGTGGCGGCTGACGGCGTTCCAGCGGCTGGGGTTCACCTGCGCCGACGTGCTCGCGTGCGTCAAGGAGGCGAACGTGGTGGGCATGGGCGCCACCGGGGTCGTGTACAAGGCCGAGCTCCCGCGCGCCCGCACCGTGATCGCGGTCAAGAAGCTCTGGCGCCCAGCGGCGACGGACGGCGACGCGGTCTGCAACCTCACCGACGACGTGCTCAAGGAAGTGGGCCTCCTCGGCCGGCTCCGGCACCGGAACATCGTCCGGCTGCTCGGGTACATGCACAACGACGCGGACGCCATGATGCTGTACGAGTTCATGCCCAACGGCAGCCTGTGGGAGGCGCTGCACGGCGGGGCGCCGGAGTCGAGGACGATGCTGACGGACTGGGTGTCCCGGTACGACGTGGCCGCCGGCGTGGCGCAGGGGCTCGCGTACCTCCACCACGACTGCCACCCTCCCGTCCTCCACCGCGACATCAAGTCCAACAACATCCTGCTCGACGCCGACATGCAGGCCCGCGTCGCCGACTTCGGGCTCGCCCGCGCGCTCGGCCGCTCCGGCGAGTCCGTCTCCGTCGTCGCCGGCTCCTACGGCTACATCGCGCCCGAGTACGGGTACACGCTCAAGGTGGACCAGAAGAGCGACATCTACAGCTACGGGGTGGTGCTCATGGAGCTCATCACCGGGAGGAGGCCCGTCGAGACGGCGGCGTTCGGGGAGGGGCAGGACGTCGTCGGCTGGGTCCGCGAGAAGATCCGGAGCAACACCGTGGAGGAGCACCTCGACCCGCTCGTCGGCGGCGGCTGCGCGCACGTCCGGGAGGAGATGCTGCTCGTGCTCCGCATCGCCGTGCTCTGCACCGCCAAGCTGCCCAGGGACAGGCCGTCCATGCGCGACGTGCTCACCATGCTCGGGGAGGCCAAGCCGCGGCGCAAGAGCGGGAGCTCCGCTGCCGCCGGCAATGTCGCCGCCGTCGCCGTGGCCACGCCCGTCGTTGACAAGGACAAGCCGGTTTTCAGCACCACGCCGGACTCCGTCTGATGGACTGATTCTTCTTTTCCACCCTTTTGTATGTAGACCTTTTTCCCCTTGATTAATTAAAAATTAATTTTGAGATTGTATAAGCAACAGTTTGATGTATCAGGATTACTAATTAGGCACATAGATAAAACACATGTAAATTATTTTTAATGTATAAGAAGGCCAATAAGCACTGCTATTCATGGTAGTAGTACTACTGTACTACATAAGGATAAAGATACACATATATGAATCGACAATTCAAACAGTTTAGCTGCACATCACTCTGCTGATTGGAATTCGGCGTCAATCGATTTTCTGAATGAAGGAAGTCTAGAGAACACAAATCATATTATTTTTTCAGTGTGTTTTGGCCAAGTTGGTCCAGAGTTGTGTTAGATCATGGCTCCAGGTTCCTTGGGACCCCTCCTCCTTTTCAGAGCTCCGGGCCCTTGCTAATCATCTGGTTGGAGTTACTAAAAGGGTTTTCTGGGTTGGACTTGGAGCGATTTGTTGGCCTTTGTGGATGATTAGGAATAAGTTTACCATCGAGCATGTTTTTCTTGCTAAGCCTGCTGACTGCTTATTTAAATCGTGTGTGTTCTTGCTGCAGTGGAGATCATTGACTAAGACGGAGGACCAGGATGCTCTTGATCTCCTGATTTCTAAAGTTCGGGCCTCGACGTCTTCTCTATCCAGACAGGAGCATGTTGCTTAGATGTTGATGAACTTTTTAAAATTCGACAAACTTTTTTGGATTTGATTTTTTTCAAATTTGATGAAATGTTTTCAAATTTGATGATCTTTTTTCAAATGTAACTTTTCTTGAAATTGATGATTTCGTTTTTCAAAACCGATGAACTTTTTTAAATATGTGATTTTTTTTTTGCAAAAGCCATGAACTTCTTTCAAATCCATGCATTTTTACAAATTATTTATACTTTTCAGAATTTTTCAGATTTATTTTTAAAAGAAAAAGGCAAAACAAACGGTTGAGCTAACATTTGAGTATTGCGTCCCAAGCGACAGGATCGTGAGTGAATAGTGTCCTGAGCGACCAACCTTTGTTGGGCCAGGCCCAGGAAACCTTCGCGTGAGCACCACGGAGGAGATTCGGCACCAAAGGTGCCATATACTCCCTCCATCCCAAAATAAGTGTCTCACCTTTAGTACAAAGTTATGTACTTCCTTCGATTCTTTTTACCTTGCGCATAACACAAAGCCCCGATACCAAGGAGAGGCATCCATGCAAAAAACTGGACAATTTTACCCCCACAACAGTGTGATCTGTGTATACGGATATCCCGCTAAAAAATAACTGCAGACGCTTTGATTGGCTGTCCTCCTTTGACTCCTCGTAGCGCACGCCCCTGCATGCATGCTCTGCATGCCAATTGGTTACTGACGGGCGCTAATTAAGGGATGATGGGATGGAAAGGGCAGTGGCATGGATGGAAAGACCAGCTGCGGTGGCTCAGTACACAGACTATTAAGGGAAAAATTGGAAAATTTTATACGCAGACTATTGAGGCCCGGTGGAAATACTAAAGTTAGTACAAAGCTGAGGCACTTATTTTAAAATGGAGGGAGTAGGACCTCCGCCATCCCAATCCCTATTTAGCGCCCATTGCGCAAACAGACGCTCACCCCCTCTCAATGATTTCAGAAAATGGCCTGGCCCGTTTAGAAGCGCAGCAACCTAATTTCTTCTCCGATTTTGGGCAGCTTCCAGAACTTTCTAGGCTGGTTTTGGGAAGCTTCCTGACTTGTTTATTTCCTTTTTGTTTTTTGTATTTTTCCTGAACCAGGTTGGTTCTCTTCTAATTCTTTTTTGTTTTTGTTTTTACTTTTTACATTTTTTCAAATGCATCAAAATTTTCAAAATCATGAACTTCTCTCAAATTTGTGGAATTTTATTTTGAATTTCTTGAACCTTTTCAATTTTTGCTCACTTTTGTGAACTTTTTCCCAAGTTTCATGAACTTTTTTTCAATTTTGTGCACTTTTTTTAGTGAAATTTTTTCAAATTCATGAACTTTTTCAAATTTTCATGAATTTAAAAAACATATATGCATGTTTTTTACTAAAATTTTTAAATTTTCTTGAACAATCCGAATTCATGATTTTTTTCATTTTTGCTAACCATTTTAGTGAATTATTTAAAATTATTATATTTTTAAATATTCACGAACTTTTTCAAATATTTTTTTTAGAAAAATTCATGAACTGTTTTCAAATTCGTGTTTTTTTAGACTAACATTTTTTCAAAATTATGAAATTTTTCTTTGTGAACATTTTTCTGAAAATTCAACGGGCCTTCGTCAATGATCAAGAGTCCAAGAATGGACCAGTCGACCGATCTTGACCGAGTGATCGAACGAACGATCGATTCGACAGAGCAAAGGAATAGCACTGCTGACATTATTGATGCGCATGAGCACTGGGTTGTATAACTGGCCCGAATGGCGCCCAATAGAAGCTCCCTCGGGCCATAGAATGATGGAGGCTCCTGTCCGTAAGAATTTTTAGTGTAGATATTCAGTATCCCCATTCATGATCGATCTCATTTGCCTGTCGATGCTTTACATAACAAAGTCAGTGTGCTCTCCAAGTTAAGACATTTAATTCATATAAAAAGATGGTGTATCTCACTACATGAACCAATTACACACCACTGATATACCCTGGCTAGTAGGAAAAGAAACGTCCATGAATTACATTACACGGACTAAGCAACAGCGGTAAAGCTAGTTCAAACGAATGATGCACACACATCACCTTTTACCAAGTACCACCGGTAGCCGCATGGCTAGTAGCCTAGTACAAATAAGCAATAGTACATTTATTCGTTAAACTCAAAGATATAGCCAGATTTTAACCAGGAAAATACACACGCTATTTATCCGTCTCCATTTGTGGTTCTAGCCAAGCTTCTCAATTAGCTGTGGTGTCTTCCGTGCCAATTTTGCACAACTGATGACCAAAAATACATATAGCTTGTCATATACCTTATCAAAGAGCCGGAAATATGCAATCCTCCACGTTTTCTTGAAGAGCATGGTACAGAACACCACCCAGACACCAACAACAAACCCTGACCCGAGCCCAAGGTGAAAAAACGTTGGACCGGGCACATGTGCACTTATCTCTTGATGATCACTGTTGTCAAGCTTTGTTGCAGTATTATCTCCTGAACAATTCCGTTGGAGAGGAGGCCCACAAAGACCATCGTTGCCTTTGTACATATATGGATTGTTGTCATATAGGGTGTCAATTTGTGATCCCGATGGTAATCTTCCGGACAAATTGTTGTATGAAAGATCCAAGCAAGCCAAATATGTTAGATTTGATATGCTCGGTGGAATTTCTCCGGAAAGTTTATTCCTTGATAGGTCTAGTGATTCAAGTGATTGCATGGATCCAATCTTATGTGGAATTTTTCCAGACAAGTAGTTCCATGACAAATTCAGATTCACCAGTTGGCCAAGAGAAACAATTTCTTCTGGAATTTTCCCAGTTAAGAAATTCAAGGATAAGTCAATGGTCACCATCTTGGAATATCGAACTCCGTAATAACGTTCTTGATGCTTCGTGATCACGGGCAAATTATAATGTAGCATCTCAACATCATTCCTCTTCATGCTTGTTAAATTTGACATATTCCAAGGTATAACGCCTGATAGTCTGTTGCTTGTTACATTGAAATCATACATTTCTCCTAGATTGGTGATGCTCAATGGAAGACTCCCTGAGAACATATTGTAACTTAGTCGTAGAGACTGCATATTATTAAGGTCCCCTAACCACGTAGGCAATCTCCCAAATAACTTATTTCTTGATAGATCTAGAACAGTTATACCATTGCAGCTTTGCAGAAAAGATGGGAACTTGCCTGAGAACATATTATCATCCAAAAAAAGATCGACTATATGTGTCATCTCGACACATTGAGGAAATTCTCCATTCAAACTGTTGTTGCTCAAATCTAACCTCTGCAACTCTCTGGATTTGCAGATAGATCCTGGAACATGACCGGACAAATCATTGTTTGAGATGGAAAAATCAGTGAGGTTTCTCGGCAATGGAGATATTTCACCGACTATTTGGTTTCTATCTGGTAAGAGATACTCCAATGACATGATTTCCATGTTTTTTTGGCAAGCTTCCATTGATTTGATTGTCAGACATGTCCAAACCTTTAGCGAGTGAAAGTGTTGTAGAGAACCAGTACGGAAACTGACCGGTTATACCCGTGTTTGACATGTCGATGGTATAAACACCAGACATCCGTTGAAGCCAGGCAGGAAAACCAGGACCCATTTGGCAAGATGCAAATAATGCGGTCTCTAGTCTCAAGGGGGGTAGCCGATCAGGATCTACCACAATCCTCAAGAAATTATTGGATAAATCTATATGTTTCATGACCGTCAAGTTACAGAAGTGTTCTTCCGTGATGACACCTGTGAATTTGTTGTATCCCATGTTTAGGAAAATAAGATTGCTGAGTGTACCAATCTCCGAAGGCACATTTCCTGCCAGATGGTTATTGGAAAGGTCGAGAATTACCAAGCTGGTAAATTGGACAATCTCGGCTGGTAGTGTCCCGGTGATATTATTTTTATGCAAATCCAATCTTTGCAGTTTACTGGAAGAGCAGTGTGGCAAACTTCGGTATAATTCTGTCATGTTACCATAGGAGAGACCTTTAGCAAGGTTTAGAACTTCCAAATTGCATAGGTTTCTCAGCAATCGAGGCGCTATGACGCCACCGCCATGGCCATCAAGATGCATGTTTTCTGAGAAGTCAAAGTATTGAAGGGACATCATTTGTCCCAACATGCTAGGAAATTGACCATACAAAAAGGTGGATCCAAGGTTGAGGTACTTGAGGCTTGTCAAGTTCCAAAACCAACATGATTCGGAGGGATGATCAAAATCATTCATGCTGAGATCAAGCCACTCAAGTTTTGTGAGGTTCAGGTGTGGGAGCTGTTGGCTTGCATTTTGAAGTGAACAGGCAGAAACATAGAGAGCTTGCAAAGAAGGAATCATATTCACGGTGTGAGGCCAATCATGCGCCATGGTAAGATTTACCCAGCTCAGGTCAAGATGGTGCAGCAAAGGCAGACGTGTTAACCATGATAAATCTGTTGGTTTCACGCTAGGAATTATGTAGGAAATGTCGAGATATTGGAGCTTAGAGAGGTTACCAAGCTGAGGCAACATCTTGTCGCCATCGAGTAATATTGTGCCGGAGAGGTTCAAGTATCTCAAGCTCTTAAGAGATCCCCATAACTTGAAATTATAACGGCCACCTGGAATACTCAGTGAAGTCTCACCAAGATCAAGGTGTTCCAGGTGCTCCAAAGAAAACAGAGATGGACTTACGTGGCCTTCCATGTACGGGTACTGCTCGCCGTCGATTAGCTCGGTATATCCAAATCGAAGCTCGACGACATGGCCAGTCCGGTTGCTGCATCGGACGCCCCTCCACCTGCAGCAGTCGACACCTCGCCGCCACGAGACGAGGCGGCCCACGGGGTCGTATGTGACGCCGCTTTTGAACGCCATCAGGGCATCACGCTCCTTAGGCACGCATCTAGTGGTACCGGCGCCGGTGCCGGTGGCATGGCCAGCAAAGGTGGCGGCTGTTACCACGAGGAGCAGCAAGAGGAGCTTGGTGGTGGCACTCATGGTGGTTTCGCTGTCTCTGTTCGTGGCATCCATAGCATGCAAGTAATTAGTTAGAGAGTGCTGGTAACTTGTCAGCAAGAATATGTGGCAAGTCAACGGCCGGACTAGGTCGTCCCGGTGGATTAGATTCGAGTGGCTTAAGGCAACAAACACGAGTCATGTTTTATTTGGTCTTTGCGGGTTTGTCGGCATGATTACTAGCCACATATATTCATGATGTACACAAGCACGTGTGACGTGGAGGAGGAAAATTCAATATACGGGCATCTCGAAGGATGTGTTAAATTGTGAGCCGAACTATACCGTATTGGACTAGACGTAGTATAAATGGTGTGGACTTTTGCGTTGGTACCGACGCGTACGAGTACAACTCGTTTACTTGTCCTCCAAGGACTCTTATGTATTGCCCCTCATATATACCCCATGTAGTCGCATCTAAAGAAGTGTTGTCGTCTCGTGCTTGTAATACTCCTCCTCATAGTGATTGCACCTTCTTGCCTCCGTGATTTTCTTCCGCAAGGGTTTTCACGTAAAAATCTGTGTCTCGCTCGTGTCTTGTTTTATCTCATTTTACCTAACAAGTGGTACACAGAGCCAAGTTTCAGTTCAACCCCAGCGCTGAAGGCGCGCTAGGAGGTCCCCAGCCGCCATTCACCCATTGAGGGCTTTGTCTAAAAAAAACCATCGAGGGCTAGGTCATGGAGGTTCCTCAGTTCAACCCTCAAAATCTCTCGTGAAAATAAGTGCATGTGCAATACACATGAACTTTTTTTGCGGGGTAATACACATGAACTGGAGTAATTAAACAACATTGATGCCTTGGCTAGTGGAATAAGGTGTACATAAATTAAACAAACTAAGCGACATTCATATTGCTAGTTCAAACAAACGATCAACACACATTACATTTAGCTAAGCAACAGTGTGCTAGTACAAACACATACACACACACATATATTACATGAGCTGAGCAACATTTGTTATTTAAACTTATTGCTTCAAATAATACCAAGATTAGCTTAAACTCGGAAAACAAGCACACTTTCCGTATCTCCAGTTTGTGGTTCTAGCCAAGTTGCCCAGTGAGGTGCAGTGCCTTTTGTGCCAATCTTTCCCAGGCGACAACGACAAACACATATAGCTTGTCATATACCTTGTCGAAGAGCCGGAAATATGCAATCCTCCATGTTTTCTTGAAGAGCATGGTACAAAACACCACCCAGAGGCCAACGACAAACCCTGACCCAAGCCCGAGGTAAAAGAACATTGAATCAGACACATGTGCACTTCTCTTGGAACCACCATCAACTAGCTTTGTTGCATTATTATTTCCTGGACAATTCCGTTGGAGGGGACGCCCACAGAGACCAACGTTGCCGCTGTACATATATGGGTAGTTGGCGTAGAGAGTGTCAAGTTGCGATCCTGATGGTATTCTTCCCGACAGATTGTTGTAGGACAAATCCAAAGATTCCAAATAGGTAAGATCTGATAGGCTCCGTGGAATTTGCCCACAAAGTTTGTTCCTTGATAGGTCCAGTGATTCCAGTGATTTCATGGACCCAATTCTGCGTGGAATTTCTCCAGTCAAGTAGTTCCAAGAAATATTCAGATTCACCAATCCATTCATAGAAGTAATTTCCTCTGGAATTACTCCAGTTAAGTAATTCAAGGATAAGTCAATGCTAAACATATCAGCAAATGATTGTTTATAATGAAGCTCTTGCCGCTTTGTGAACACGGGCAAAAAAAATTGAGGTTGCATCCAGTTCGAGTCGAAGTTATAGAATCGCACCCCTTTCAAGGCCTTCAAATTTGAAAGATTGCGAGGTACATTTTTACAAGATTGGTGATGTTGAATGGAATACTCCCAGAGAACTTTTTTTTTTAGAAAAGGAGGATGACCCCCGGCCTCTGCATCTGGGAGATGCATACGGCCACTTTATTGATTATTCTCGATAACCATACAAAGTATTACAACAATGTGTCTGAATCCACCATCTCGGCAACATGTGCCGCTACTCCTATCCAATATGATGAGGGGGTGCTAGCTGGGCCACTACCCAAACCACTCACCTAAGCCTAACATCAAAAGCCGGAAGCCGAAACTCATTCGGTAACCCCAGCCGAGCCACATACTGGGTCTGGGGCGCAATCCGGTCAGACGCACTCGTGTGTCGTCGCCGCCATCTTCCACAGGTCCGTCTTCAGATCAAATTGAGGCTTCTACCTTGTCTGGCCAGTCTGCCATCGACGTCCCCATGACGCCAGACAGCTTCCTCCTCCTGCACGAGTCCATCTCCGCGCGTCAGACGCCGAGTCTCCACAGCATCATGCCGCCGAGATCCGCCATCATCAATGTGAAAGATGAAGCACCGCTCCACCAACGTCGCCGTCCTCTAGTCCCTCGAGCCCGTGTGCACCTCCAAGAATGACGCCCCCAGGGGGGAAGACGACACCAGAGAGCCGCCGCCATCCGATCTACTGATCTAGGGTTTCCCCCGGAGGTAGCAGAGAGTGGCCTTGAACATCTCCACGACGATGCCTTCAGGAAGGGAACGACGCAGACAGCGTCGCCATCGCCGGCCTTGGCAATAGCCAATAGCAGGTTTTCACCCGGATCTGATCGAAGACCTCCATCTCTCGTGCACGGGTCGCCGCCATCCTTGCCGGGATCTGGAAGATCCCGCAAGCCAGATCTCAGTAGGGAGGAGCCCCCCCCCCCCACCGAGACCCGCCGGCCAAGCAGGGGAGGCCGAGGCCGCGTCCACAGGACATGCCCGCGCCGCCGCCCCGGAGCAGCCCCGCGCGCCAAGAGGCGAGGACCACCACCATGACTCCCGCCGCACCGCCGCCAGGAGCTCGACCACTCCGCAGCACGCCGTGCCGCCGCACCCGTCAACCAGTCCGGCTCCCAGGCCCGGCGGATCTGGCCCGCGCCTGACCACCCGCGCGAGGGGACGAAGGAGGCCCCGCCGCCGCCTGCGCAGACCGGGCTTCGCCCGGCCACGCCCTCCAGCGGCGGCGAGGGGGAGTAGGGAGGGAGAGGGGGCCGAGCAGAGGAGATCGGGGCGCCCTCCCCGGCCGCCTCGCGGGTGGCGGCGCGGGAGGGAGGGAGGGAGGGAGGGAGGGAGGGAGCGAGGTATAACTCCCAGAGAACATATTGTAGCTTAATCCTATATACTCTAAGAATATCAAGTCTTCGATCCATTCAGGCAATCTTCCAGAAAACTTATTTCTTGATAGATCTAGAAACTTTATATTTGTGCTTTGCAGAAAAGATGGGAACTCTCCTGAGAACATATTGTTACTCAATATAAGACTCCGTATGTTTTCCATCTTGATACATTGAGGAAATTCTCCCTCCAACTGGTTGATGCTTAAATCCAAGCACTCCAACTTTTGGGTTTTGCAGATAGATCTTGTAATACGACCTGATAGAGAATTGTTAGATATGGAGAAACAATTGAGATTTTCTGGCAATGGAGGTATTTCACCGGTTATTTGGTTTCTATCTAGATAGAGATAGTTCACTGACATGGATTCCATATTTTTTGGTAGGCTTCTACTAATCTGGTTGTGGGAGAAGTTCAAAAATATAGCCTGTGAAAGTGTTGTCGGGAACCAGTATGGGAGCTGACCGGTTATGCCCGTGTTTGACATATCAATGTAATCAGCTCTAGGCAACAACCGAAGCCAAGAAGGAAAATGAGGACCTATTTGGCAAGATGCAAAATATGCTTCCTCTAGTTTCAGGGGGGGTAGCAGACCAGGATCTACTATAATATTCAAAGGATTATTAGATAAATCTATATACTGTAAGCTCGTGAAACCATAGAAATGTTCTTCGGAGATGACACCTGTCAAATTGTTGTTTCTTAGGTCTAGGGAAATCAAACCATTGAGCCTACCAATCTCAGTGGGCACATGTCCAGTCATACGGTTATCAGAGAGGACGAGAGTGGCCAAACTGGTAAATTTGGCAATCCCAGCTGGTAGGGTCCCGGTGATATTGTTTCCATCCAAATACAGTTCTCTTAGGGCCTGATCGGTTGACAGGGAAAATGAAGGGGTTTGACAGGGATTGGCAGGGATTACATCCTCTACAAGTCAAAACCTCCTCCAATCCACCCCAATCCCCCTGTGAGGAGGTGTAACCGAACAAAGCCTTAGTGGGCTGGACGAGCAATGTGGCAAGCTCTCATACAACTCTGTCATGTTCCCATACGAGAGGCCTTTTTCAAGGTTTAGCACTTCCAAATTGCATAGGTTTCTCATCAACCCTGGCGCTATGATGCCGCCGGGGCTGCCGTCGAGATACTTGTTGTATGAGAAGTCAAAGACTTGAAGGGATGTCATTTGTCCTAGTGTCTTGGGAAAATGACCATACAAAAAGGTTTCTTGAAGGTTGAGGTACTTGAGACTTGTCAAATTCCAAAACCAACAGGACTCGGAGGGGTGATCAAAATGGTTGTAGCTGAGATCAAGCCTCTCAAGTTTTGTGAGGTCCAAGCGTGGGAGCTGTTGGTTGGCATTATGAAGCGAGCAACCAGCAAGATAGAGAACTTGCAAAGAAGGAATCATATTCACGATACTAGGCCAATCATGTACCATGGTGAGATTCAACCTACCAAGGTCAAGATGGTGTAGCAAAGGTAGATGTGTTAAGCTTAAAAAATCTGTTGGTTGCACTATGGTGTAGGTGGTGTAGGAAAGGTCGAGATACTGCAGCTTAGACAGGTTACCAAGCTGACGAAGCAACGTGTCGTCATGGACTGGTACATTGGAGAGGTTCAGGTATCTCAAGTTTTTTAGAGAGCCCCATAGTTTTGGAACATGACCACCATTGGTATATATATACGGAAAATTGCAGGCGAGATCAAGGTGCTCCAAATGCTCCAAAGAAAATAGAGATGGACTTATCTGGCCATCCAAAGATGTTATCCGACCAGTATAAAATTCCTGATCAAAGTACGAGTAGCTATTTCCAAGTCGAAGCTGGAGGACATGGCCAGTCCGGTTGCTGCACCTTACGCCCCTCCACCGGCAGCAGTCGCTGCCTCGCCGCTACGAGGCGAGGCGGCCCGAGGGATCATATGGGACACCGTGTTTGAACGCCAGCAGGGCATCACGCTCCCGCGGCACGCAGACAGCCGTGCCGGTGCCGGTGCCATGGCCGAGAGCAAAGGTCGTTGCGGCGGCTGTTGCCACGAGGAGGAGCAGGAGGAACTTGGTGGTGGGAGGCATGGTAGTTTGGGAAGGCTGTGTGCACGAGTACTCAACGGAGCACACACACGCCCATAATTTATACTCCGCGTACAGTCATTGCGTACAGAAGAATTAACTGGACGGTAAGAGAGATATCTTACATCGACGGTCGGAGGCGGGCGTCAACGGTGGGTGGGTTCCAGTGGCCGCATGGGTAACGCCTCGAGTCAAGTCTATGTTTGGTTGCTCCCAGTGTCGTTCGCCCATGGCTGCCCCTACGGTTACGTCGCCGTGGGCTGTTAAATTCCACCGATCGAGGCACACGCTACGATCACTGGCCACACAAATCTAACATGAGTCCAAAACAAGAAGGTTTGGCCGCTATACCATCTTCTTTCAATTCAAATTTGTGTGTTCCGTATGATCAATCATCCAAATAGCCTTTAACTTGTATCCACCTACAAATGTTTTCAATATATATATGGTCACTAACTCGACGGAATATCAAATACGTTTGCTACGCTAATAGAGGGGAGAGCGTCTGTCTTACTATGGTCACTTTGGCTACATAAAAATGATTGTGTTCTGAATGGCAAAACCTCTTCTACTATGCATGTTATTTATCATATTGTACACACTGGCTTTGTACGTGGTCTACGCTACTGTGAACGGAGTACCAATCGCAGTTCAAGGTGGTGTATATTGTTGCCAACTTGTCGGTTTTTTTATATATTTACCTTTTGAAATTATTCGTTTGTGGCTATGTGCATTTTAGCTATGCAGAGGGCGGACATTCATCATTACTAGTGGTTGGGACCCGCCATTGCGGGCCTCTTGAGAGGAAGTTGTGCATGTATTTCCCCCGCTCAAAGAAAAAATCTCAACTTCATTTTAAAATTAAAAAGAAAACTTTCTCACAATACGTGAACATCACATCCATCTCAAAAAGAAAAAGGAAAAGTCTAACAAAATTCTTAAAATGAAAAAGAAAAAAGTATCCGGGGCATCGCCTGCGGGCATGGAAAGAAAAAAGTAGCGGCTTTGCAAAGAGCAATGCTATTCAGTACATGTTCTACAAAATGCTTTACGTACCAGTTCATTGAAGCGATGGTTGCTAAAATCAGTAAAGGTATGGCACATGGCTGCGGACGAGCGCGCACCAAACAAACTAGTCCATGCATGCACGCGAGATTGAAGCGACGGTTGCTAAAATCGTGGGAGCGATAACATCTTTATGTAAGAATAAGATTTTCCGTGTACATTTGTTCTGATGTACACGCACTTGGAACGTGCCAGCTAACAATGCAAACGGAGTCAGAACGCTGAAAGCCTGGATAACAATAATCATGT